TAATTTGTATTACTTTATCTGCTTTTTACTTGATATGTAGTTCTGTCATTAACGAAAAATGTCCCTATGGCCACTCTTGCTCATGTTTGATTGCTGTTGTTAGTGTCATCCAGTTGGTTCAAAGTCATAGCGACCAGGTATAGGGTTTCCAAGGCTGTAAATCTTTATGGGAGCCAAAAGCCTTATCTTTCTCCTATGGAGTGGCTGGTGGGCTCAAACTACTGACCTTGTGGTTCAAAGCCCAGTGTTAATCCTTACAGAGCCACTGTGCTCCCCTATTTATGTATCATGTTGATATTTATGCTCTTTAAAATCTCTACTTGACTTCTTAGTGAAATTTACCCCTGGGTTGTTGTTGTTAAGTGCCATCTAGTCAATTCGGACCCATAGTGACCCTCTATAGAGTTTCCAAGGAGCAGCTGGTAAGCTTGAACCACTGACCTTGCAGTTCAAATGACTGCAGTCTGACGCATTAACCCACAGCGCCACACCAGGACTCCTATCCCTGGGAAGAGTAGGGAAAAAGTAGAACTAACTATAAAAATCATGACTCATAATAATTTAAATAATTCACATTTGTCAGAAATATTAATGCTTCCACCAAAGGTCCTTCACTATGAACTTCTTCACAGATAAGTAGACTGGCTTATGTGTAATTTCTGGAATGCCTTGGTGGTCCAGGGGTTTAAGTGCTTGGTTACTAATTAAAAGCTTGGCAGGTGAAATCCATCAGTTTCTCTCCTCAGGGAAAAGATGTGGCAGTCTGCTCCTGGAAATGTCACAGTCTTGGAAAACCTGTGGCACAGTTCTACTTTGTCTAATGGGGTCACTATGTGTCGGAGTTGACTCCATCACCATAGGTTTGGTTTATCTGTAACCCCCCACCACCACCCTTTTTTCTCCCACTCAAGGAAAGAAATCTGAAATTAGGGAAGAAAGACTTTAAGTATTATAGGGTTGATTTAGAGTGAATTCTCATTTTTAAAGACAAATACCATCTGTAAATGTCTATATGCTTGATCACAAGTAAACCGCAGACTCAGCCTCATCACACTAAGATGGAAACTACTGCTTCCAGATATACTTTTAGCCAGCTCTTGTTAATTTTGCTTTCAAATGTGTCTACGTAGAATGATATAGTTGGCTTAAATATAGCATAACTTTATTTGCTGTCACTTAGAGGTAGTTAACAGGAAGAAAAGGTTTATTCCCCGTTCCTCAAGCATCTATATTAAAAAGCTCACATTAGTGTGCCACCTCTGTAGTTTATTGGAGTCCTGGTATGGCGCTGTGGGATAAGTACTAGACTGCTAACAGCAAGGTTGGTGGTTCACATCCGCCAGCTGCTTCTCAGATACCCTATGCAGGGTCACCATGAGTCGGAACCAACTCAACAGTACCCAACAACAACAAGTGTGACACTCCTAGACTCCCCCTCACATTCTTGTCGGGGTCTGACTATGGGTCACTCTGCCTCTGGGGTGGAGCACTAGTCACCAGCAGCCTGTGACTAAGGAGGTCATTTTGCTAAATTCTATGGTAATCATTTCAGGAAATACATTGCTGTTGTTGTTAGGTGCAGTCCAGTGAGTTCCTACTCAGAGTACAACAGAACATAACACTGCCCAGTCCTGTGCCATCCTCACAGGCATTGTTACATTGCAGCCCATTGTTGCTGCCACCGTGTCAATCCATCTCATTGGGAGTCTTCCGCTTTTTCCTTATCCTCCACTTTACCATGCATGATATCCTTCTATAGGGACTGGTTCCTCCTGATAATGTGTGAAGTATGAGAGATGAAGTCTTGTCAGTCTTGCGTCTGAGGAGCATTCTCTTCTGGCTGTACTTCTTCCAAGAGAGATTTTTAAAATTCTGCTGGCAGTCTGTGGTACTTTCAATATTCTTCTCCAACACCATAACTTAAATGCATTGATTCTTCTGTGGTCTTCCTTATCCATTGTGGGATCCTTTGGTGGTGCAAACTCTTTATGCTAACTGAAAGTTTGGGGGTTGAGTCTACTGAGAGGTGTCTTTGAAGAAAGTTCTACTGATCTACTTCCTAAGTATCAGTCATTAAAAACCCTGTGGAGCACTCTTCTACTCTGACACACATGGGGCCACCATGAATTGGAATTGACTTAAAAGAAACAGATTTTAATATATCATAGTTGTTAAAAGGGAAGGGTCCTAACACTGAAACAATTATGATGTATGCTAAAACATTGATAAGAATGCTCAGAAAACAAAGAATGTTAATTCTACACATTTTCTAGTTAATTCCATATAAACTTGAATTCTTTTTTTAAATTAATAATTTTAAGTATGTTTGAGTTTACCATTGATATGATGGTTTGTCTTTTCCCTCTTCCTTTCTCCATTATGCTAAAAAGAGACAGCATAATGACTTTCAAGAGTTGTCCGTTGGATTATTAATCTTAACAATGCACCAAAAGTCTGATGATTTTGCATCTACCTCATCTATATTCTCTCTCCCTTTCTCCTCTGCTCCTGCTCTCAGGGAACTGCTGGGAAGTACCCTGTAGCCACAGAGAGAAGCCATTGACCTTCAGAAGGAAACACAAGGTAAGTAAAAGGACTCTTGACTAGTCTACCTGAGGTCCCAGGTCTCCCAGCTGTTCAAATGTAAACTGAAATTCAGAGTAAAAAATTGTTTCATGCATTTTTCATCCAGGTTCTTGCTTTGTGTTTCAGCATACTGTCTATTGGGACATGAACTACTAGGTTGAGTCAAAAATTATCCACACTCTGCCTGTAGAATTGATTTTAATCAACTTTTACAAAAGACAAATATATCATTTTCCACCACAATCTCCTTGCTTTTCAATACACTGTGTCCATCTGTCAACAAGCTTTTGTGTTCCCTTATTTTAAAAAAAAAAATGTTTTAGGCTGAGTTGCGAACCATGAATGCACCGCTGTCTTCACTTCTTTATCAGAGGTGAATCTTGGTCCTCAAAGGACTGCTTTCAGGGGACAAAACAGGTGAAAATCTAATGGAGCAAGATCAGGACTATAGGGAGGATGCTTTAACACTTCAAAATGTAGCTCTCACAGAGTGTCAACAGTGTGGGCAGAGGTATCACAATGTGCATTATCATGCAGGGTTGCAAGGCCCTTGGATAGCAGTCCTCCTCATTTATTCTGAAGTTTAGACTTCAGCTCTTCAGTGGACATCTCACTGTTGATTGTTGAACC